GGCTGGAGAACAGCACATGCAGGTCCCGCCGGTGGAGGCAGTAGAGCTTGGTGGTCCAGAGAGTGGGTACGTTTTTGGGGGAAAGGGACTTTCCCTCTCTGTGTTTTAATTTTCTTATTTGTAAAATGGAGATAGTAATAGTAGCTAACTTCTAGGATGGTTGCAAGACCAAATGAGGGAGCATATATTGAAGTCCTGGCTGGGAGAAGCAGGTCGATGAGGTCATTATTGGGTCTCTTGATGTACAGGAGGCAGCCATGTATACAGGTTTGGAGCTGATGTGATGGAGATGGTTTTGCTATCTAGGGGGCTGGCTAGGGTAGTGGATACAAGCTGGTCTTTGGAGTCGGACCACCTGGATTTGGATTTCAGCTTCACTGCTTATTAGTTATGTAACCTTGAGCAAGTTGTTTACAATGTGTCTTAGGTTTTCATCTGTAAAATGAGAATTCTTAGCTGGGTGCAGTGGCTCATGCCTGTAATTGTAGCACCTTGGGAGCCTGAGGCAGGTGGATCACGAGGTCAGGAGTTTGAGACCAGCCTGGTCAAGATGGTGAAACCCCATCTCTACTAAATACAAAAATTATCTGGGCGTCGTGGCGCATACCTGTAGTCCCAGCTGCTCAGGAGGCTGAGGCAGAGAATTTCTTGAACTCAGGAGGTGATGGTTGCAGTGAGCTGAGATCTCACCCCTGTACTCCAGCCTGGACAACAGAATGAGATTTTGTCTCAAAAAAGAGAGAGAGAGAGAGAGAGAGAGAGAGAGAGAGAGAGAGAGAATTCTTGCTCATAAGAGTATTGTAATTTTTTTTTTTTTTATTAAATATAGGGTCTCACTTGTCACCCAGGCTGGAGTACAGTGGCATGATCTTGGCTCACTGCAGCCTTGATCTCCTGGGCTTATCCTCCTGTCTCAGCATCCTGAGGAGCTGGAACTACAGGTGTGTGCCACCTCGCTCAGCTAATTTTTATAGAGATGAGGTTTTGACATGTTGCCTAGCCTGGTCTTGAATTCTCAGGCTCAAGTGAGATCTGCCTGCCTTGGCCTCCCAAAGTGCTGGGATTACAGGTGTGTTGTGTATAATAAATGAGTTGGTATGTGAAATGCTTAGAATAGGGCCTGGCACGTCATGCTATGTGTGTTAGCACTTTTTGCTGAGAGAAGTTTGTAATGGTTTAGGAACAAGGCGTATTGATTGCTTGTACAGGGTTCTGGTGAGTCTTTGAATAGAGTGGGAGCTCAAGCCAGGGACCAAAGTTTTCAATGCCTCAAGGTCACCTGCCAGAGGCCCAGAGATGTCAGCAGCAGGAGGGGCAGAGGGTGATATGGCCAGTGGAGTAAGTAAGAAAGGGGCAGGAGTTTGTACAAGAGGGTGGAAGAATCATGATCCTAATGTGGCAACAAATAACAATAGCCATAGCAATTACTTTTGGCTGGGCGTGGCGGCTCACACCTGTAATCCTAGCATTTTGGGAGGCTGAGGTGGGCAGATTGCCTGAGCTCAGGAGTTCTAGACCAGCCTGGTCAATATGTGAAACCCTGTCTCTACTGAAAATACAAATATTAGCCGGGCATGGTGGTGGGTACCTATAATGCCAGCTACTCGGGAGGCTGAGGCAGGGGAATCCCTTGAATCAGGGGGCGGAGAGGGTGGCAGAGGTTGCAGTGAGCCAAGATCCGCCACTTTACTCCAGCCTAGGGGAAAGAGCGAAACTCCCTCTGAAAAAAAAGAAAAAAATTTTTTTTTAATGAATCGGTTATGGTGGCGTGCACCTATGGTCCCAGCTACTCAGGAGGCAGAGTGGGAGGATTGCTTGAGCCCAAGGAGGTTGAAGCTGCAGTGAGCTGTGATTGTGCCACTGCACTCCAGCTTGGGCAACAGAGCGAGACCCTGTATCCAAAAATAAATAGATCAATAAAGAATATTACAGAAAGCTTGGGCTATGGGAGTAGGTAGTCTGTCCAGGGTGCTAATATTCTGAGGGTTTATTCACCTTCATGGAGAGTGAAGAGTCATTCCTGCCCGAGTTGGTAAAGCCAAGGTTGCCAGCAAAACGGAGTTACAAATCCCAGCCTCAGGAGGAGGGGCAGTTTGGAGGCCTAGCAGCAGCTGTTTGAACCTCTGGCAATGGGGAATGCACCATCTCTGCTGGTGGGGGCTAGCCTTGGCATCTCATGTCCACCAGGGAATATGACCTCTGTTGGTTGCTTTTTCTGCATTTGCAATAAATCCCAAAGCCTTTGGCTGGTGTCTCGGGGGTGGCACATGGGGAAACCCTGTAGGCAGGGGAAGGGGAGCCCATTCTCAGACAGCTGCAGAGGTAAGGGAGCCTCCCAGAATAGGATCTTGGAATCGATTTGCTGGGCCTTGGAGATGCAAAAGCAGCTTCAAATGCTAGCTGTGGATTACTCTCCATGAGGCTGCGGTAGCCCTAGCCTCATGGGCAGAGTCATACCCAGCAAGGTTGAGCCGGGTCCCCACTGAGAAAGGCTAGTGCAGGTAAAGCCATCTGGAAGGAGATGGGGACACTAGGCTGAGAAAAGTGGTGAGAATATTTGGAGCTGCTTGAGATAGACCTGTGGGACTGTGTCTCTCACCAGAGGCTGAACCAGCACCATGGAGGCCGGGAGGGTTGGCAGGTGTCAGCAGGGGCCCGAGGCTTTGGCAGCTTCTGCTCCAGGCTGAGTTGCAACCAGGCCTGGGACCTCCACGGGTGCGGGCAGTTAATCTCTGAAGGCCAGAGTCACCACTACTAGAGAGCAGGAACATTGAACTTTTCAATCACATTAATTTCCACAGGAAATTGTTGTCTCCCTTTTGTCCAAAGGTTAGTGATTTATATTTACCATCCTCTTAGCTAGCCTGGAAATTTACTGTTGCCAGGTCACTACCGGCATCCATAAATTTCAGGGTGGCAGCTGAGCATAGCCAAGTGGCTTGGTCCTTGGAAGGGTACACGCCGGCCCTTTTGGGAGGGCAGATTAACTGGCTACAGATGGTCCTTGTACAGAAGTCCCCCTGAGGGGGTGGGTATTCAGTTTGCAGGAGAAATGAGATGAGGTCTGTTTGACAAGGTTGCAGGGAGGCTTCTTCAAAGGCAGCCCTGGTGGTGGCAGCGGCTGGCTTGTGCCTCTTCGCATATCACCAGCCGTGGATGGGGTGGCAGCACACACAGTGCTGGAGTAGTTTAGGGTGGAGTAGTTTAGGGGCCAGATTCCCAGCTCTATACTCTGCTTAGACAAGTACCTTAACCTCACTCTGCCTCAATTTCTTCATCTGTATTAGAGGACCTGCCTTAGAGTATTGTTAAACCTCAATAAATACAGCCTGTTATTATTCTCTTGCAGACAGGGTAGATGGCTCGGTATAGGCCAGAGTCAGTCAGTCTCATGTTCCTGTCTGCACTGTCCTATCCATTTATCCTTTTATTTTTTATTATTTTATTTTATTTTATTTTTTTTGAGACGGAGTTTCGCCCTTGTTACCCAGGCTGGAGTGCAATGGCGCGATCTCGGCTCACCGCAACCTCCGCCTCCTGGGCTCAGGCAATTCTCCTGCCTCAGCCTCCTGAGTAGCTGGGATTACAGGCACGTGCCACCATGCCCAGCTAATGTTTTGCATTTTTAGTAGAGACGGGGTTTCACCATGTTGACCAGGATGGTCTCGATCTCTCGACCTCGTGATCCACCCGCCTCGGCCTCCCAAAGTGCTGGGATTACAGGCTTGAGCCACCGCGCCCGGCCCATTTATCCTTTTAAGACCCTCTTCTTCCTGGGAGGCTGAAGCGCGCAGATCACTTGAGGTCAGGAGTTCAAGACCAGCCTGGCCAACATGGTGAACCCCCCCCCTACTCTTAAAAAAAAATTAGCTGTGCAGGGTGGTGGGTGCCTATAATCCCAGCTACTCAGGAAGCTGAGGCAGGAGAATTGCCTGAACCGAGTTGGAGGTTGCCTTGAGCCAGGATTGTGCCACTGCTCTCCAGCCTGGGTGACAGAGCGAGACTCTATCTCAAAAAAGACCCTCTTCTTCTATCTGCTCATAGAATTAGAATAGGGGCTGGCAAACTCTTCCTGTAAAGGGCCAGATTGGTTTGTTTGTTTGTTTGTTTGTTTGTTTGAGATGTAGTCTCACACTGTGGCCCAGGCTGGAATGCAGTGGTGTGATCTCGGCTCACTGCAACCTCCGCCTCCCGGGTTCAAGCGATTCTCCTGCCTCAGCCTCCCGAGTAGCTGGTATTACAGGCACCCACCACCATGCCCAACTAATTTTTGTATTTTTAGTAGAGACGGGGTTTCACTATTTTGGCCAGGCTGGTCTCGAACTCCTGACCTTGTGATCAGCCGCCTCATCGTTCTAAAGTGCTGGGATTACAGGCATGAGCCACCATGCCTGGCCAGACCAGTCAGTATTTTAAGCTTTGTAAGTCACCTGGTCTTGTAACTACTCCAATCTGCTGTTTTTAGTGTGAAGGAGTCATAGACCCTAAGTAAATAATGAGTGTGACACGTTCCAATAAAACTTTGTTTGTGGACACTGAAATTTAAATTCCATATGATTTTCACGTGTCACAAAATATTCTTTTGATTTTTTTTTAACCATTTAAAAATGTGAAAATTATTTTAGCTCATAGGCCATACAAAAATAGGCAGTGTGCCCAGTTTGGCCCTGGGGTTGTAGTTTGTAGAGCTCTGCATCAGAAGGTGAAAGGGCATGGAGAAGGTATTCACTTTCCTCACTTGGGCTATCTTTGAGTCTCTAAAGAAAGGTGCCCTTGTGTTGGTTTGTCCGGTGACCCCACGGTCTCTGCTGAGAGGCCTGCAGAAAGGCAGCTGGAGCAGCAGGGGGTGGGAGCTGGAGCACATGCCCTGGCAGGACGCCCGGGCCTGGCATCCATTGGTTCCCTGCCTGCAGCAGCCAGAGTGCTGCTGGCTCTGGCTTGGGCAGTCCCCCCTACCCCTACCCCAGCTCTGGTGTTGACAGTCCACATCTGTGTTTCAGAGAACAGCCCCAGCCCAGGTGGGAAGGAGGCAGAAACTCAGCAGCCTGTGGTGATTCTCTTGGGCTGGGGTGGCTGCAAGGACAAGAACCTTGCCAAGTACAGCGCCATCTACCACAAAAGGGTGAGTACTCTGGTGCCCTCTCCCCGGGCTGCAGTGAGGGCTGACCACCTTTGAGGCAGGCCTGGGAATGGCTTTAAGAACAGTCTGTGGAGTTTGAAACCAGCCTGGCCAACATGGTGAAACCCTGTCTCTACTAAAAATACAAAAATTAGGCCGGGCGCGGTGGCTCAAGCCTGTAATCCCAGCACTTTGGGAGGCCGAGGCGGGTGGATCACAAGGTCGAGAGATCGAGACCAACCTGGTCAACATGGTGAAACCCCATCTCTACTAAAAATATAAAAAATTAGCAGGCTGAGGCAGGAGAATTGCCTGAACCCAGGAGGCGGAGGTTGCGGTGAGCCGAGATCGTGCCATTGCACTCCAGCCTGGGTAACAAGAGCGAAACTCCGTCTCAAAAAAAAAAAAAAAAAAAAAAATACAAAAATTAGCTGGGCATGATGGCACATACCTGTAATCTCAGCCACTTGGGAGGCTGAGGCAGGAGAATCACTTGAGCCAGGGAGATGGAGGTTGCAGTGAGCCAAAATTGGACCATTGCACTCCAGCCTGGGCAACAGAGAGAGACTATGTCTCAAAAAAAGAAAAAAAGAGCCTGTGAGGAAGGCATGGGGTCATAGGGACTTGGTGGGATTATCCCCATTTTGCTGCCAGTTTTGTGGCCTGGTCTAGGCCCTTTAGTCTCCTGATGGCTTCCCCTTCCTCCCTTCTGCATCCCACAGTGGGTGGCCCAGTCTTGATGTGGCCCCTAGTTGTGGAGTTGGCCCAGGCTCCAGTCCCTGTTAACCGGCCGGTGCCTCTGTGGGCAGCAGGAGCCGGGACCGGGTGTCTGGGCATAGCTTGTACTCCTGGGACCTCCTTTCTCACCAGGTGAGTTTCTGTGTTACCACTGCCCATGGCACCTTTCACATTCCCAGACTAGCAGGGCCTCTCGGAAAAGATCTGTGCTGCTTTTCGTCCAAACAAGAGTTGGATGCGGAGGCTGTGGTAACTGGTAACTGCTAAGGAGAGGGTCTTAGCAGGACCTGGTTATATTTTGGAAGCTTCTCTCACCTCTTGGGCCTCCAACTCCACCCTCTCCTCCTCAGCCCAGATCTCTCCCCGAGGCAGCCTCCTGCAGGGGTCCTGGTGCAGAAAGCTGCAGCTGCCAGCTGGAAGCCCTGGACTGAGGAGCAGGGGGCACGTGGAAGAAAGGCCAGCTGAGCTCCCTTCCCTTCGGCGTCCCTCCACTCACCCAGGTCTACTTCCTGCCTGCCTGAGGTGTGGGTGGCCCTGGAATGGGAGAGGGATTAGGGAGAAAATGTAGTTCTGAGCTTGAAGCCTCTCCCGTTTCCGAGGCTGGGGCTCTGGTGTCGCCTTTTACTAGACAGCCTCACTCTGCGGCCAGTTAACTCACTGGACTCGGCTTGTCTGACTTCTTCATTAGCCTGAGATCCCTGAGGCCAGGCAGGGGACCAGGAATAGTCAAGTGTGGCTGGGACAAAGAATGAAGGTACAGGCACCTGGTGAGAGGTGGGGCTTGGAGGGGGTCAGCCCTCAGGAGATTTAAGCAGGGATATGATGTTATTTTGTGAGTCAGAAAGTCCCTCTTGGCCGGACATGGCGGCTCATGCCTGTAATCCCAGCACTTTGGAAGGCTGAGGCGGGTGGATCACTTGAGGTCAGGAGTTCGACACCAGCCTGGCCAACATGGTGAAACGCCATCTCTACCAAAAATACAAAAATTAGCCGGGCGTGGTGGCGCACACCTGTAGTCCCAGCTACCAGGGAGGCTGAGGTGGTAGGATCGCTTGAACCTGGGAGGTGGAGGTTGGTTGCATTGAGCCGAGATCGCACCACTGCACTCCAGCCCAGGCAACAAAGTGAGACCCTGTCTCAAAACAAACAAACAAAAGTCCCTTGCTGTAGAGTGGGGGAGGGATTGGAGGGCTGGGGCTGGAAGCCAGAAGTGAGTTCAGAGGGGCTTGCCATGATCCAGGGACAAAGGGTAGTCGGGACCTTGGAGCTGAGGGTGGTAGTAGAGGGAAGATGATGGATGGAGGAGCTTGTCAGGAGGTAGAATGGTGGTTTAATGAGAGATTGGGCATGGGCACAGGGATAAGGGAGGTTCATCTCATTAGTTTCCAGTCCAGATTCAGATTCCATAATTGTCCCCAAAGCATTCTTTACAGCAGATGTGCCCAAACCAGGATCCAATCTCAGATCACACATTGCATCTATTTCGTTCCTTAAGGCTATAATTGCACCACTGTACTCCAAAGGCTCTTTTAAATCTAGAACTGTTCTCCTCCCCACCCGCTTTTAGATTCAGGCTCTTGCCCTGTCACCCAGGCTGGAGTACAGTGGTGCAATCATAGCTCACTGCAGCCTCAACTCTTAGGCTCAAGCAATCTTCCTGCCTCCAGCCTCCCGAGTATCTGGGACTGCAGGCATGTCCCACCATGCCAAGCTAATTTTTTTCTTTTTGAGATGTAGTTTTGCTTTGTCGCCCAGGCTGGAGTGCAGTGGCATGAGCTTGGCTTACTCCAACCTCCAGCTCCTGGGTTTAAGCAGTTCTCATGCCTCAGCCTTCCAAGCAACTGGAATTACAGGCATGTTCCACCATGTCCAGCTAATTTTGTATTTTTAGTAGAGATGGGATTTCTCTATATTGGTCAGGCTGGTCTTGAACTCCTGACCTTGTGATCTGCCCACCTTGGCCTCCCAAAGTGTTGGGATTACAGGCATGAGCCACTGTGCCCCACCATTTCTTTTTTCTTTTTTTGAGGCAGAGTTTCTCTTTTGTTGCCCAGGCTGAAGTGCAGTGGCGCGATCTTGGCTCACCACAACCTCCTGGGTTCAAGCGATTCCCCTGCCTCAGTCTCCCGAGTAGCTGGAATTACAGGCATGTGCCACCATGCCCTGCTAATTTTGTATTTTTAGTAGAGATGGGATTTCTCCATGTTGGTCAGGTTGATCTTGAACTCCCAACCTCAGGCGATCTGCCTGCCTCAGCCTCCCAAAGTGCTGGGATTACAGGCATGAACCACAGCACCCGGTCTTTTTTTTTTTTTTTTTCTTTCTTTTTTAGAGATGGGGGTCTCACTGTGTTGTCCGGGCTGTAGAACAGCCCCCTTTTTCATGTTAACTGACTTATTGAAGAGACTGGGCTGCAAGGTAATATTTCTAGGAGTGTGCGATTCCAGATGCTCCCAGGGAGAAACATACAATGGGGAGCGAAAGGCCTCTGTTGGATTTGAGCATTTGGGAGAATGTGGGTGGTCTTAAGCAGCCCCCTCTTCAGAGTCTTGGGAGGGACACTTAGGCAGTCCAGGACTAGGAAGTCAGGGGGCTGATGGCAAGGTACCTCTGCTGACCATCCCTGTTTGGCCATGGTTCATTAAACTACTGTGCCCAAACGATTTTCTCCTAGTTACTCCCACGTCACTAATTACTGCTGCTATTGGTTGAGAGTTTACTTTGTGCCAGGTGTTGCTTTAGTCACTTGAGACACATTTTTTCCCATCTAATTTTACCCATAACCTTATGAGGTGGGTGCTATCCCAATTTCACCATAACCTTAAAGATGGGGATCCAGACTCAGAGAGAAGTAAACTGTTCCTTGTTCTTACTGTTGATACGTAGTGGTGTCAGTTGAACTCGGACCTGTCTGACCCCAGCACTCTCTCAAGTCACATTGTCCCAACAAAGGGCCCTTTGCCTCTGGAACAGGAGAATGAGAGGGGATTAGGAGCCAGGCACGGTGACTCTTCTGACTGACCTAGAAGGGGATCTGTGTGGAGATTGTGGCACTCTTGGCCCAGCCATGAGGAGCACAGAAGCCTAAGGGAGTTTGGGCCCAGACTATAGAATTCAAGGAACAAGTGTTTACTGTTATTTGGAAATTCAGGGCAAGTATGAGGAGTGGTCCCAGGCCTGGGAACCAGAGACATTTGGGTGTCAGGTCCCTGAATCCAGAGAGAATGGACTTTATTTTTAGGGGCCTGGCAGGGAGGAAAGGTCACAGTGACCAGTGATGGAAGTGATGTGTGCCTGGCTCAGAAGTGGCCTCTGGTGGTCAGGGCTGGGGCCTGCAGGCCAGGTCTCCGGTACTGGTCTCATGGGGGTATACTTGTGTCTGGGAGGTAGGGACAGTGCAGAGCTGAGATGCTGGGGCAGGGGATAGCCAAGCAGTGAGGCCCTGCCCCAAATGTGCAAGGTCTTAGGGTGGAAAGGCAGGCACAGAAAGGAGGGAACCAGAGTAAAGAGACTTAGGTCAGCCCAGATGTCTCCAGAGCATGCTCAGGCTCTGGGCCTCAAATACCACCCCAGGCCAAGAGGGCTTGGCTAGCATGAAGCAATTAGTTAAAAAATGGGCCTTGAGTCTACTTTCCCCACCCAGAAGGCACCGGTGTCTGCGGGCGGCGAGCTGGTGGGCTCAGGCTGAAGCAGGACCTACAGCATTGCTGACTCTGTGGGGTCCATGGCCTGTGTCCTCCAGGCCGGGGTTGCCGGGCCCCTCTGACCTTAGCTTGAACCCACTACCCTGACCTCATCTGTGAGGACTGACTGGGCCTCTCTCCCCAGGGCTGCATCGTAATCCGATACATAGCCCCGTGGCACATGGTCTTCTTCTCCGAGTCGCTGGGCATCCCTTCACTTCGTGTTTTGGCCCAGAAGCTGCTCGAGCTGCTCTTTGATTATGAGATTGAGAAGGAGCCCCTACTCTTCCATGTCTTCAGCAACGCTGGCGTCATGCTATACCGCTATGTGCTGGAGCTCCTGCAGACCCATCGCTTCTGCCACCTGCGTGTGGTGGGCACCATCTTTGACAGCGCTCCTGGTGACAGCAACCTGCTAGGGGCTCTGCGGGCCCTGGCAGCCATCCTGGAGCACTGGCCCGCCATGCTGCGCCTGTTGCTGCTGGTGGCCTTTGCCCTGGTGGTTGTCTTGTTTCACTTCCTGCTTGCTCCCATCGCAGCCCTCTTCCACACCCACTTCTATGACAGGCTGCAGGACGCGGGCTCTTGCTGGCCCGAGCTCTACCTCTACTCGAGGGCTGATGAAGTAGTCCAGTCCAGAGACGTAGAACGCATGGTGGAGGCACGCCTGGCACGCCGGGTCCTCGTGCGCTCTGTGGACTTTGTGTCATCTGCACATGTCAGCCACCTCCGTGACTACCCTACTTACTACACGAGCCTCTGTGTCGACTTCATGCGCAACTGTGTCCACTGCTGAGGTCATTGCTCGACCTCACCTCTGCTCCAGAAATAAATGCCTGATACCTCCCCACCACCTGCATCTGTGGGGCCCTCTTCTGGTTCAACTCTCTGTGGCCCTTTGGGACTCCGTGGTCCCCTAAGTAGAAAATTCCTATAGGCCCGTCTCCTGGGGACCTCTGTCTGCTGGTGGTCTGCTTACCACAGAATACTAAGGTGCAGGAGTGCTGGGGCATGTGTCTGGGGGAGTCTTGCAGTGAGTTGTGTTTGGACAAGTGCCACAGTCAGGCTGCTGATTCCTGTGGCATGCAGGCTGTAAAGGGCGACAAAGGGCGGCGGGAGACCTACTCTCTTTTTCTTCATTTTTTATTTTTTTTGAGACAGGGTCTCACTCTGTCATCCTGGCTGGGGTGCAGTGGTGCAGTCAGGGCTCACTGCAGCCTCAACCTCCTAGGCTCAAGTGATCCTCTCACTTCAGCCTCCCAAAGTGCTAGGACTACAGGCATGAGTCACCATGCCTGGCCAAGATCTCTTCTCTTAACAAAATTTCAAGTGTGTGTAATACTTAAAAAGTTTAAGGGATGATATACACAGCAGACTTCTAGAACTGAATAATCTTGTATCTTGCATAATTCAGAACTTCATCATCTTGTATAACTGAAACTTTGTACCTGTTGCCAGAATTGAGTTTTGATTCCTTGAAAGGAAGGTGAGCTTTGTGGGGAAATGCCAGCGGGAAGGTATCTTGGTTAGGGTTAGGGTCAGGCTGGGGATAGGGGCTGTGACCATTGCTCCAGCAGGGCAGAGCCCTACAGTGCAAAGTACCATCCACATGGGTCCCACTTGGCAGTTCACTCAGAGAGGCTCCTCTGTCCTCACTGCCTGGGATTCTGAGGTAGAGCCAGATAAGGAGCTAAGGATGCAGAGGTTAGGGGCCTGGCCGGCTCCACCACACTTTGCTTGGAAGCCGCCAGATCTGGGAAAGTTGTAAGCTGAAAGTTGCCAGACAGAGTGGGGAGCAGGAAGGCAGCAGCATTCCAACAGGAGGTGGGACGAGCTAACTCCCAAGCCCTAAAGACCAGAACCTAACTCCCAAGCCCTAGAGACCAGGGTAAGGGGATTTGGGGCTGAAATAGCAAACTCCTCATCTCCTTGAAGGGAAACCCATTTAGAAACTCTCTAGGCAGGAGAGATGAATTCAGCCTTATAGTTCAGTATCATTTATCATTCCAGAAGTCACTGCTGTACAATGTTGGCACATAGTAGGTATTCAATAAATATTTGTTGATAGAGCTTACCGTGGTAATCGAGGTGCTTAGGTGGCAGTGAAGGAGGTGGTTAGAAAAGCTCTGGATGGGAGCTGAACCCTGATATTCTCGGGGATGATGGATTCTCTGTCGCCAGAGCCACGTTCTGTCTGCAGCCCATCAGTCCTTGGTGAGTCCCCACTATGGTGGCAGGGATTCCCATGCTGTGTGGCTGCATTCCTAGCCATGGCCAACAGGTGGCAGTGCAGCCTATGCCATGAGACAGCTCAAGGCTCCCACAGCACGGTGGGCTTCAGCGGAATGTCCTCGCTCGGGGTTAATGGCCCCTTTCAGAGACATATGGCCCCCAGGGTGGTGGTAACCAGCCATCAAGGACCTACTGAGTCCAAGCCTATGGGAGAGTAAAGACGTCAAAGAAGTCGGCCTGATAGGAACTGGGCATGAAGAGTCTCCTCTTTCTCTCTCCGTTGCCCTTACCTACCCACTCTTCCAAACCTGTTTCTTTCCCAGACCCTCAGCCATTGCTGGGGCTGCTCCACCTCCCTCCCTCGACAGAGGCCATGGACATTCCCAGGATCCCTGTGTTCAGGATATTGGGTTTCATCAAGCTGGGCGTGGGGCTGTGAAGGGCCTTTGCTGGGCTCCAAGGGGGGACTTGTCTGTCTTCATGGGTCCAAGGGGTGGCAGAAGCTGCCAACTGGACCCAATTCTGAGGAATTCACTGAGGGTATCCCAGAGAAAATGGGCAACTAAGGGTGGGGATTTGGGCAGATGGGCATGGTGTGCAAGAAGGTGTCAAAACAAGTCTGGAGTCATGGAGCTACTCTGGGGCCTTGACTGTTTTTCTCCAAATGCTTTCTGTTGTGGGTGAGGACTTACGTGTATCTTTGAGCATGTGCCTGGGAGGCTTCTAGGAAGGTGAGCTACCTCACTGGCAGTGGGGAGCTGTGGGGGTCAAAGTGCCATCTGTCCAGTGCTAGCAGCCCAGCCTTGCTTCTCTGAGCACGGGGAGACTTGAAGGTCCATCTTGGATAAATAAGAGTTTCCATTCTTTCCATTTGAGGATCTAGGCAGTAGCTACAGGGACGATGGTCACTAGGGATACCTTTGGAGAACGGAACAAAAGCGTGGGAGGCTGATATGGTGATCCCACTGTGGTCTCTGGTATGTTTCAGGGGATCAGAAAGGGATAGGGGCCTGGGGCTTGTGTTTGCACCCAAGCTTATGGCCACTCCTGCCCTAGCTTGGGGGATAGACCTTGCATCCTCTCTATACCCCCAAGCTCTGACCTCTTCTGTGATTAATGAGCTGACGATTCTGCATCGATAAAGAATTAACCTAGCGCTCCTACCCATCAATAGTCAGGAGCCCAGATCCCCAGCCCCACCCCCAATCCAAGCCAAATGCTCCAGGGCCTCAGAGCCGACCAACCCTACACAGCGTCACACACCTACAGCTAAGTCCTTTCCCCCATCCTGCCACCAGGAATTAACCCCCTAACTGCTCACCTCTGCCCATCAGCTCCCCCACCTCCCCACACACATACACACAGGCAGCAACTGTTTATACTGGTTTAATCCATGTCAAATGTAGTTTACAAAGGGAAAGGACAAGTACCTTTGTATAGAATATACAGACACAGCATCACACCATAGGGCCCACGGGAGGGTCGGGGAGACACTTTCTTCCCTGGGAAGGAAGGGCAGCTCTAATCCCGGAAGTGGTTCTCAGCAGAGGCTGGGTGGCCAGGAGCACTGTCCTCCAGCCCCCCCATCTCAGCCTCTGCTTCAGCTCGGTTCCCGTCTCCTGCCTCTAACCCCCAACTCCTTATAAAGAGCCCCATGAGCTAAGACTAAGGAGAGGATCATGTCCCTTGGGGCATGTGCCCCATGTCTGGGAGAAGAAATATACACCACTGAACACCGAGCACATGGGAGAGGGAAGGGACACCACAGGAGAGGGAGAGGCAGGTATCCCAGAGGTGGATGGGCCGAGCCCCCAGCCAACCCTGAAGGAGGCACTGCTTCCAGGGGTTCTTAAAAAAAGAAGGAAATCATACAACCAAAGGGGAAGGGGACAGGTAGAGGGCGAGGAGTTGTCCCATTTATACACAACATTGTAAACATACACGGTCTATATTACATGTGCTTCAGTCTGGTGTCTGCATGTCTGTCCGTCTGTCAGTCTGGGGGCTGGATCTCAGGAGCTGTGCCCCACTACTCCCCCCACCCCCACCTCCCTTCCCCACCCTGGGAACAGAGTTGGAACAGGTATGGCCCCCAAACCATAGGTGGGAGCCAGCAGGTAGTGCCTGGGCCACAGCCTCTACTCTGGCTCCAGAGTCCTGCGTGTGTACATGTGTGTGTACATGTGTGTGAGTATGTGCATGTATGTACATGGGGAACCTGTGTGCAAGTATGTACAAAGGGAGACGGTCACTGTCACAGAGGCTGGGGGCAGGTGGGGCTGCTGGAGGCGAGGCCTGCCTGGGGCAGATAGCTCACAAGTAGATCCTCCGCAGGTCTCCGGGTGCTGTGATCGTGTTGCACTGAGGGCAGAGCTTCTTGGCACCCTGCAGGGAGAACAGGGAGGGCTCTGGTCTACACAATGTGCCACGTGTGTGCACGTGAGCACCTGGGCCTGAAGCCATGTCTCTCTGCACCAGTGTGTGCTGGGACCTTGGTCCCGTCAGCCCAGGCTGGGGACGCATAGGCAGCTTCTATGAGCAGGCAGGCACGCTCCCGTGCTGGGGGGACGCCAGGATCAAACCGCCTGGCCAGCCCCGCAGCAGGAGCCCCGGTAATGAGAACAAGGCTGGGTCCAGCTGTGGCAGCCGCAGCCCTAACAAGATTACACACGGCCTTTGATCAGGACACAGAGCCCACGTCCGAGCCTTTTATTGCTGTCTCCGGGCGACATTTTAATGGCTGCTCCTGAGCGAAGAACAGGGGCAGGAGCAGAAGGAGCTTAGTAATGGGAGGGGGAGGGGCCCAGGCCCTGGTCCTGTTTACCCACAGCCAGCCGCCTCCTGACCTGGGGCCTCACCAGTATGTGTGATGCAGTGGGCCTTCGGGGGCCAGGGAGGGGAAGGGAGAGTGCAGTGAACTCCTGGAGGGGGAGAAGTCACTAAACCTGCAGTGGGGGAGGAGAGGCAGCGAGCTAGGTCGGTATCCTGGCTCCTGGCTGTGTTCTCCCTTGCCTGTGCTCCCCACTTCCCCCAGGCAGGCTCAGGTATAAGCACAGATATCTGGGCAGTGCCCGGAACGGCTTCCCACTCCCCGACCCCCATGCCACCTCACCAGGGTCCGCAGCCAGCACTCCTCGCAGTGCACGTGCCAACACTGGATGGACGTTAGGGGCATTGAGTACGAGTCCTAGGGAGGCAAGGGCAGAGAAGGGGTCACTCTGAGGCAGGCCCACCCTCCAAAGAGCCCAAAGCAGTGCAGAGACCCTCTCCAGATCCCCCAGAGGGCGCAGAAGCCTGACCAAGGGCACCTCAGGTTCTTTTCTACTCACCATGCAGATGAGGCATTTGTAACGGTCCCCACGGGACAGCTGCCGTTCAAGTTCTCTGACCCGAGCCTTCAGAGCCTCAAACGTGGTCACAGCTGAATCTTCGGTGATTCTGTAAAAAGGAAGGCATGGTTGGGTAGCAGGCTGGCATCGCCCATCTGCACCTCCCTTGAATTCCAGAAGCAAATACATAAATGTCCCCTAGGCATCCCTGCCTGCCCCTTCCTCTAATAGTCGGAATCTGCAAATTCCACATTCCAGAACCAAACTCCTCACCCTCTCTGTTCCTGTAT